CAAGTGTCTCAGTAAGCCATGACAGTGTGCCAAATGAATGCAAGCTATCATTTATTTTATAATAATACACCTGTGACTAAATATCTTCTGTAATAAAAGTCTGTGTTGCCAAACATTTTCACTGGATTCAACAGAACACACACCCACTTTGACTGTAGTATCAAAGATCAAATTAAATCAATATTTAAAATATTTTATCCAAACACATATTTTTTAATAAACAAGTAAATATCACACATTCATCCGTCAAATTCCATGACTACGACTGGTGATTGTTGCGCACAGGGTTTATTCCTCCAAGAGTGTCCACAATAATGCTTGTTTTTTTCTTCATGGGTCATCTATGCACTTATAATCTCATATTGCCAAAGTAAAAGCTCAACAAGATGTGATCCTAAAATGTGGTTACATACATAAGTTGCATACAGTGACAACTAGTTAGTGCTGGAGATCATTAGTGTACAGTAATTGTGAAACTGTGTTAAACTTTGTTTTTCTCTTAGGGCTTACCTTTTCCTTTGCATGTATTCCTTTGCTGGTGGGTTTTTGGGAGAAAAAGAAAACATCTCCACCAACAGCGACCGAATCATTGCCAGCGCCTGACAACGAAAAGAAAGTGTGAATATGAGGCTGTCCACAATTTACAGTACTAATTCATAGCTTATTAGGCTTAGTTTTGTCATTCTGAATAAAGCAGGTCTCTGTTTGATACGTTATTGTCTAGCTAGCTACACACCTGATTGTGTTCATCTACGCCACAGTCACCCATTTTTAAGATTCTGACCTTTGGAAGCTGATGTGAAAAGGTTTTTTGTGATAATAAAGCAACAAGTAATAAGGTGAAACAGACATTAACTCTGAGGGTGGACACATAACAGTTTAATAAAAAATAATTGAATGCAATCTTGTGCACCAACACCACAAACAACAACAAAAACCCACTCAGTCGATTCAACATTTATGTCAAAATCCCCCTAAAACACTATTATATTGTGTTTTATATAAGTAGTTTGCTGTTTTGCAGCATTTGAGTTATGAACAGTCCAATCAAAGTGGGATTTTTCCATCTCAGTTGGTTAATAAATATGTAGTTTTGTGTTATTTATCTGTTACAGGGACTAAACTGGTACTCCAGGTTAGGAAGCACTGCCCTATATGACTTGTTGCTTTTCTAATATTGTGTCCACCCAAGATAAACTAGTGCTCACTTTGCTGGATATAAGCTAACATAAATGACCAGTAGGCCCAGTATTGACCCCTTTTTTCCCAGTTGTATTCCTCCATTTTTAATGATGCAGGGTTCATGTCTCAGGTTCATTACAGGTTAACCTCTATAGAGCGACTACAGCTTACTATTTGTCCTTTAACCCAGGTTTAAGTAAGGCTATATGAGTGAGGGGCTAAAATAAAATAAAAATGTGTTATTATTAAGATATTTGTTCATTTTAGTTCATTTCTAGTCTCTAAATGTAAGTTTTCCAGAACACATACAGTACATATATCCCACACACGTTGGCTAAGTAAAGCTAAGATTACTTTGTGTTTCTCCTCCTCGGCTCACGGTTGTCTCGGCTTTATCTGCAGCAGGCTCGAACATCAGTCTTCTCGGTGTTTTGTCCTCTTTTCTCACTTTCTTGTTGAGATTTGGTAATTTTACTTTTAAAGTGGACCGGCTGTTTTCACCCTTAATGTTACTAATACCCCGTTTGTTCCCGCGTTGGCCCTGAGAGGGGGGCTCGGTCTCGTCCATAGACTGACCTGGTCTTGATTCATCTCTCTGACTGGAGCCCAGCTGTGAACCAAACCTGGGCACATATACGGTCTTAACTGGGGACATCTTCTTCTCTCTGAACTCTTCTTTCTTTTTACCCTGAACCGACTGTCTGGAGTAAGTTTTTAATTTCTGATGTAGCTTGCTTGTAGGCTGTCAGCCAGCAGGTGGCAGTAATGTGGCGTCCAAAAGGGGCTTTGAGTCTCTAAGAATCTCTAAAAAGACATATTTCTGTAAATAAATAAATGATTTTATCTTAAAAAGCTTAAAAAAAAAAACTACAGCAGCTTTTTAGTGGATGAAATATTGAAGCTGTTAACAGCAGGACTGTTACATAATAAAAGGATATAAATAAAAGGTAACTGTAATCCATTACTGTTACAGGGTTAAAAAGACGTAATCAGATTACAGTTACATTTTGTAAACATGTGGATTAATTAGCAGGAAATACACTGAGTATTTTCTTTTCAAGGGTTACATTGTTGTTGTCTAATACACTTCTTTTGTTTTTATTTGCATATTTGGTGATGAGGTAATCCAAAAGTAATTTAATTACTTGGATTAGGTTACTGGCTACATTAATTGTATCAGATTACATTTTAAAGTAACCCTCTCAACCCAGATTATTAGCTAAATGTAGACTATTTGGAGTATTAAAGAGTAAAAATACTGTAAAATGGCTCCTATTAGTGTATTTGCGTGTAAGTAGCGATTTAATATTGTAGCCTAGTTGGTCGAGGTGAAGCTCATTTCAACAATACTACATCTTAATCTATAAACAATGCATCAGATTTTACAAACTCAACTTTTGTGTGTCGAATCATAATTTGTAACTTTAACTAGTAGCTATAAACTTAATGGAGTGGATTAAACAACACACAGGAGGTCTCCGTCTGAATCGTGGTATTGTGTATTTCAGAAAAACGAGTTTGTTTTCTGAAGTTAAGATTGAGGGCAAAGACCTCACTGTTGTAATAAATCAGTACTCCGAGAATTCAGCCATTTTAAGTGGATTTCTGTTAGGGTTGTAAAATCTCTCAATGACCTAATTTGTGACTTTTTGTTGCCCATGTGTATACTTTTCACTTTAAAAAACACAGGCTTTTATTAGACTAGAAAAAAGGTTTTTGTTGGGACAAAAGGAGGAGGTTTAGGTGAGCTAAATAGCACTCAGTAAAGCCTGAAATAAGCCTCAGCCTATAAATACCTCTGACCTGATTCAACTTAACCCACCAGATGTGCCAAAAAAAAAAAAAAAGTGCTGTCACACAACAAAGGCATCAGGTGTGAGGTTTACTAAGAAACCCTTTACTGGGAAAATCAAATAACACAGGCCTCTCAGAAAACACTGAAATAAAAAGGGGGAAATAAAAAAGTAATTCTTATGAAACTCAACATTAGGCGTGTAATTCTTCCTCACAGCTGTTTTATTCGTTCAACATCTCACATTACAAATACTTCAAATGTATGCATACAGTTACAAACAGTTGGCAGCAAATGAATATATGACATTAGATCTTTGTTTTACTTCAATACTACAAACCAACTATAAAAACTGACTTCTGTATTGTAGCGTAAATTAATCAGGAAGAAAATATAAAAACTGGAACTTACGTATAAATGTGAAATGACTTAATAAAAATCAAAATGATATCAGGTAAAAAAAAAAAAAAAACTCAACTCAGTGAAGTTGCCCTGGGCTAAATGAGTACTGGTCAGAGTTCAAATGCAGGGAAAAGCTTGGTAGCTAATCTACTCCAGCCTCTTCAGCAGATAATCACACACCTTTCTTACAGTAGCATCTATTCTTTTCTGAATTTCTAAATTTGTATCTGGTATATTTCTGAATCCTCCCAGCCACGTGGCCAGCACATTAGAGACTACGTTACCCACTTCACGGCATGTCACACCAGTCGGCAGCTCAACATCTCAAGGAATAAAACAAGCATGACAGGCCGTGACAGTCACCAATCTGCGAAGTCTATACTTTGAGGTTGCGCTGGTTTGGAGAGCAACGAGGCAAGCTATTGCGCCGTGAAAAACGTAAGATTTGTGAAGACCGGGAGTAAACACAGGGAGGGTGAAACGTGCTTATTCATTCTCTTTCCTCCTCGCTCCCTCACAATCTCGTAAACACACACGCACGGTAATTACGTCTCATTAGAGCACTCTGAGCCTTTCATGTAGCTGCTGAACATGGCCACCGAATCTCCCCTCTGGCCCACAGACATAAACAAACACTTCAACTGGCCTGCCCCCTGGAGCCATGAAGCCTCTGCTCCACAATGGAGAGCCAGGGATTCCCCTTCGCCATGGCGCTTGTCCCCACCTCTCCCTCCACAGCGCCACCCAAATCCTTTCCTTTTACTCTCATTCTCTCATGAGTTTTGTCCGTTCCTTTCTGTTCTCTAAACAGATAGATAAATGAAAACAGCAAGAGAGAGAAAGAGCTGAAAACAGAGAAAGAAAGAGGGAGACAGAAGTCAGAGAGCTGCCTGCTGTGGGTCGGTAATGATATAATGAGAGGACTGCAGTGTTTAGTGGGCGGCTCTTTTTATAGCATCTGTCAAGACAAATGTGCAATCATTCACTTTGACTGAGTGACTGTGTGTGTGCTCACTTGTGCGCATGCATGTACATGTGCACGACAGATCGGTTCACATGTGTGACAGGAAGCTGACTAGGGGGATTGTGAGGTGGGCCAAAGAGAGACGCAGAGAGTGAGGCAAAGAGAGAGGGAAGGGAAAATGGAAGGAAAGGACGTGACAGAAGGAAAAAGAAAAAGGGAAAAGGCAAACAGAAAGGTGTCACTGAAAGAGAGAAAGAAAGAAAGAAAGAAAAAAAAGCCTTGCCCTGGCATTGAGCAGAGGGTCAGCGAGAGGTGACGGCCGGGTCAAGCTGAGGTCAAATAAGGTGCAAAACCAGTAACTCTGGGGCAAGTTTAGAATGAAAACAAACCGCCGCTATCACTGCAGGTCACAGACAGGGCCTCCCCTCAGGTTACACACACACACACACACACACACACACACACACACTCGTGCTCTTGTTTCTC